TGTGAATCCCCATCCATGTTTTCATTTGTACAATGCACTCTGCACACAAGGTGTTTGATATTTTCCTTAGCTGACCCATCCTGGAATATGCATAAAATAATGGAGAGCTTTGAAGATATTAGATAACTTTTGTCTACTATTTGTTCTGCATAAACTTTTCAATTTCAATATCATCATCAATGTACAACATTTATGTAAATTACAAGTTGTTGAAGAACCCAAACAAGTTGTGCTAAATATCCTTAGTTTATTCAATAAATCTGATATCCCAAAAAAGTTGCGCTAAATACCCTTGGTGCAATTTACGAGAGTGTATTCTGTCAAAATGTTTTTAGAACGAGAGTGTATTCTAGCAATGTATTTCAAAACATGTTAATTGCTTGACTTTAAGCATATGGCTTGATACTTGATTTATGATTCTATTCTAGTGATTATTGTAACACTAAATTTAAGATTTGCTTCTTTATTCGGTGATGCGGCCCAATATTCAGTGGTCATGAGGCTTAGGGCCTTGGGGAAGGAACAATTTGGCCCTTCTCGGGTGTGGGTGCTATGGTGATCCAAGTGTTCGATTGTGTCTTCGGAGGTCAAAGGTATAATCGTAATTTGATAATTCGGTCTTTTATGAATTTTGGATCTAATTTCGGTTGGTTTTCAGACTAAATAAAATTTATAGAAGTGTAGGGATTCTCGTTACCTTTTCGTGGATATAAAGAACGTCGAAAATGGATAAGGGGATGCAAAAGCTGTGACCACTTGAAGTTAGAGGGGTATTGGGCCAAAACGGGTATGCATGGCGTACAAGGGAGGTACGCATGGCGTACATGGGATTTTGGACGCGGGTGTATTTGGGAACGCCCTGTGTTCCCCCAAGGGAACATATTTAAAGACCTTAACTCACCTCCAACCCTTATTTCCTTCAGCCTCCATCCTCTCCAACCCTAAGAACGAAACCCTATCCTCCATTTGAGTGATTCTTGAGCTTCAAAGTGATTTATGTGTGTTTTTGGTGCTCGAGGAAGAATGGGGAACTTCTTGAAGAGTCATTGATTGACTTGGAGCTTTTGGATCCAGACTTTGTGCACCCAGATCTATCTTCTGGAGGTATAAAGTCTCAACCTTGACAACCCTTTCATGTAGATCTAGCTAAGTGGTATTTTGTAATGGTTTTGGTCCCTTTGAGGTGGTTCTTGTGAGTAGAAGATACTCCAGAACCTTTGAGCTTCATATTTGGTACTTGTTGAGGTTATGGAGTCATAAAGTTTGGATCTTGATGGGTATAACCTTCCAAGCATGATTTGGTAGTCATTTGATGAAGTTTAGGACTTAAGGTTTTGATTTGGGTCCCATTGAGTTATGTTAAGTCATAAAGTTTGAAACTTTATGACTTAAGAAGTCCCTTGGAACCAGATCTGGAAGTTTGGATTGAGTTCTTAAGGTATTAATAAGTTTTTAAGACATTTTGGGGTGATTTTGACCTTTGGGGTCATTTTTGGTGTTGGGCTTCTTTAAGCCATGCAAAGGCTTACAGCCTTCGACTTTATGGGTTAAGTCATTGTTATGGGACTATTATGGGGTTCTGGACGTTGGAATTAATGGATTAAGTCCTTAGAATGAGAATTTGGAACTTAGCCTTGAACGTCATGCGTAGCCCCTGGGAACGCAACGCGTTCCGTCTTAAGTCCCCGTCAATTTGTCCGGCAACAAACGTCGTGTATTCAGCCCTTGGACGCCGTACGTTCGTCTGATCAGTGGAGTTTTTGGTTGTTGGGCTTGGACTTAACTTTGGATGTAGGTTTTGCTGATTTGGGCCTTATTGGGCCTTGTGGTGTCATTTCGGTTTTGGGCTACCTATTTGGGCTTTATTGCTTTGGGCCTTTTGGGACATCTGAGATCAACTGTTGGTCTAAAGGAATTTTTGGGCTTTAGGATAAGGCCCATATGGTTTGGGCCTAATTTGGAAAATTGGGCCATTAGTGGGCCTTTATGGAACTTTTGGTTTTGGGCCTTTATGGTTTTTAGACTTGGGCCTCGGTTTTGGTTCAAGTTGGGTTAGGGGTAAAATGGTCATTTTATCCCAAGTATGGTTTATGGATCATAGTTTGGAACCCAATTTCTAGTTGGGTGTTATCTTGGTATTGATAGCCCGAAGGAATCGTCATGACAGCAACTAGAGATTTCTTTCACTGAACTTCTGCATTCGAGGTGAGTCGTCTCACTGTTCTATAGGTCGAAGGCACCAATGCCGGCCCATTTTGTTTATGTATTGTAGGAAGACCCGTGGGTAACCCTTGGCAGTTTGTATGAAAGACTAGGAGGCGGCTCTGGCAAACTGTATGCAAGACCAAAGTCTGAACTCTGGCAGTTAATTAGTTAAGTAATGTAGATTGTATGCTATTTGTCTTTGTGATTCTTGCATGGAAGACCCGGAGGTGGCTCCTGGCACTTGTCTGTAAGACCCAGGGTTGTGTCCCCCGGCCTGGCAAGGAAGACCACGAGGCGGATCGTGACATAATGGCAAGACTATGGTTGGCACATAACACTTTTATTGATTGATTGGATATGTTTGATATGTTTGGCTCATGGTTATGTATGGTGTGGTATTTTGGGGAACTTATTAAGCTTTGTGCTTACAGTTTGTGGTTTATGGTTTCAGGTACTTCTGGTTCGAAAGGGAAGGACCCGGCTTGATCGCAGCGCACACACCTATGTTTTTCCGCAACTTATGATTTTGGGAATTACTTTGATATTTGTTTTAATTTGGAATACCTTAATGTTGGATAAATGTAAATGGATGTTGAATCTATATGTATTAAAAATGAAATTTTTACCCTCGATTTTTGGGATGTTACAATTATGTTCTTGTTTAAACTAGGACCATTGAATTTGATTTATGTTTGATTAGTCACTTATATAAATTGAATTCTTGTGTAATTAACTAACTTTTAGGGCACCTAATCTTTCTATAAAGTTAATGATTGGTAACAGATAATAGGTTTTCTTATTGTAGAACACATATCACATGTTTTCATACTTCCGAGCGCATGAGAAGAAATGAACATTGTTGAGAATCTTATACAAAACTTAATGCAGATTTTCAATACAATCTAAAAGCGTGTTTAGATTGAATTAGTAAAGTTAGGTCTAGTCAAAGAGCGTGTTTTGGTTAGATAATTTGGCAAGCGAGAGATATTAGAGCGTGTTAATATCTTTCAGTACCAACTTACGATAGCAATCATGAATTACATCAAGTCATAATCAAGTTAAATGACAACATTGAGAACTATAACTAGAAGCGTTCCAACAAATTGTTTACAAATCTATTTCCTTTTCTGCATGTTTCCAAAGTAGATTGTTATTTTCATTATTTAACTTTTGCAAACAAAACACCATTTGTGACCAAAGTACCTTGCGCAAAGAGGTAATACTTTTATCCTGTGTCTTTGTGGTTCGACCCTGCTTTCCTTATACTATTTTTTAGTGCATTAAAACAGTGTATCTGGAGTCTATTGTACCCCTATAATTTGTTGGGTTTGACGCATCTAACAATTGTCCACACCCATGACCCATCAACTCGACTACCAACCCGAATCTCTAAAAAAATGACATACTAAATACGTTTTTCAAATATCATGCCTTATGTATGAAGTGCTTGGCTAAATAGGCAAACATGTAACAAGAAACACTACTTAACTTCTCAATCTCGACCACAAACCCTCTTTTAGTCCTAACGATGCAACAAATGCGACGAGAAAGATTAATGAGGTCCAAACCATTTATTGGCCAACAAAAGAGCCCTGCCCCTCTATTGTGGAGCTAAGGGAATACACCCTACCTACATGCTAGAACTCTCATATAACACGTAAAAAACTATGATGGTACGTACTGGAGACCTTGAACGTACGAGGCACACATAGAGTCACTAAAGTTCGACAAGTGGTTTTGGTGCATGCTTTTCAAAACAACATTAAAAGCATGTGGTTTAAAAGTTCAGCACCAAACAATATTCATAGTTGGGACAAATTCACAAGCGAGTTCACGAGTCCCTTTTTTCCAACAGAGAAAGTATACCTCTAACAACCATGTAATCATGGGTTGTCAACAAAGATAAGGAAAAACTACACCAGAATACCTAGTAATATTCAAGGAGGCCTAATTACAATGTTATAACGGAGATGATGACATGGTTATTGGTGTATTTTCTCATGGGTTGCGACCAATTAACTATGTTAGAAGCTAACGGGAAAGGCACAAACCAACAGGAGTAGGAAAAAAGAAACAACCCGGCAGGATCTTTTCCAAAGAGTAGCAAAATATATCAAACAAAAGATAACGAACGATACTCGAAAAATATAAACTCTTTGTATAAGAGTCCACAATACCAAACCGTTAGTCGTACACATGCTCTCTGAAACAAAGGAAATTTCATCACATCCAAAAACAATAACCACCATGGAAACAAACATCCCGACCGGCAAACCATGTTTTCAACATTTCCGCAAGGACAAACACATCAAGCAAAACCAAAACTAGTGAACATCATTGATGAAAAAACAAATCCAACTAACAAATCATAAGGTTGCATGCCAAAGGATGACAACAAATTCTGAAAATAAACACTTTAAATAAACAATTCTAAACATCCCATAATCTCAAAAGATGAAGCGAGTAAAAATGAAAATGACTTTGACCTTTGATAAATGATCTCGTTAGAAAATATGAGTAAACATGAAACTAAGAAGACACCTTTCTATAGATTACAAAGAAAACTAAATGACACACCTACATTTTTCAATTCTCATGTTGTATGGGCTTGGCCACCTTGGATCGGGCTATGAAGTTTGGGCCGCAAGAAGGTGCTACATTTACACACTACACCCAAAAGCTACTTATTTTAATCCAACTCTTGCAAATATAACAATTTTTCGGGCAACCTTTTGCTTTATTTTTTCAGTATAAAATACAATCACACAAATAGAAATACAATTTTAGTACTTTACGTGCAACTTAAATTCGGTGATCTCGATATTTCGGATCACGGGCCTTGTCCCGTCCCGCCATCTTCTTTCCCCTTTCCTTAAATTTCCAAAAGGGGAACTATGACAAGCTTCCAGTCCCATGGCGATGCCGTTTCCTAATTCTATGCTAAAATGCGCCACAACCATGGCTTTGGCCTCTGCAAACTCTGTTCTATTAGGACAGCCATTTCCGGCTCCTTCCGTAGCTCGATTTGCTCCTCGTTCTCGTAGTCTGAAGCCTAATTTCATCGATTTCAGCTCTCACACTCGAATTTCAGCTGCACCAAGTGAGTTTACGGAATCCTCGAATTTCGGTGATTCAGTTCATACCTCTGATGATCATCAGGTAAAAATGTGTTTGCGATTTTAAGTGTTTTCCTTGTATACATATTTTTTTTGTTAAAAATGATTATTTGCAATTATGAAAATTATAAGCACAACCAAACATCCCTTTATAATTAGTATTGTGTATGAACGATTCTGCTAATCTTATAGCTGAACAGTTCGTGTTTTACTTCCGAAATCCGAATTACAGAATTATGATTACATTCATATTTTAGAAGTCAAATTATAGACTTTTAAGTCTTAGTGGCCCTGATCACTATACCTTTAATAACACTTGTCGTTTTGTGATTTTAAAAGCGATCCCTGCTCCAAATTCTTTTCTGTAGGTTGTGGACATTGCCCCTTCAGAGGAGCGTGATTTTTCTGGCACACCACATGTTCCTGTATACGTTATGCTACCAGTGAGTTTTCAAACTTTTCTATTTGTTGTCGATAATTTCTGTCAGATTACATTTTTTATGTATGAATTTCAGTTGGGGATCATTGATATGGAGTGTGAGCTGATTAATCCTGATGAACTATCAAATCAGCTAAGAACACTAAAGTCAATTAATGTTGATGGAGCTATGGTTGATACATGGTGGGGAATTGTAGAAGCCAACACTCCACAACACTACAATTGGAAAGGTTACAGAAAACTATTTGAGATAGTACGCGACCTTGGCCTTAAGTTACAGGTCCGTAAAAATGCCTCATTTCCCTTATTTTCTGTATTAAGTCGTTCTGTTTGTATTAAGTCAAAAAGTAACAATATATAATATATATGAGTTGTTAATAAGAATAATAATATGATATCAGGTTGTGATGTCATTTCATGAATGTGGAGGGAATGTTGGTGATGATGTTCATATTCCATTGCCAAAATGGGTAACAGAAATTGGTGAAGAAAATCCGGACATATATTTCACTGACAGAGATGGAAGACGCAACCCTGAAAGCCTTACGTGGGGAATTGACAAGGAACGTGTTTTAAAAGGCCGTACTGCTGTTGAGGTATCGGATTTTAATTCTACCAAATGACATATTATAAAAATAAAATAAAAAATGAATGTTATAACAGGAAAATTACTGAAAATAGCAATGTACTTTACTTTTTTTTTTTTTTTGCCAATACTAGTAAAATACTTACATTTTGCTACCACTATAGACAAGGTATGTTATTCATTATATATTGCTATTATCGGTAAAAAAAATGCAAGCTGCTATTATGGGTAAAAACTGTAATTTTGGTGCTATTTTAAATAAATAAAAAAATGTAAGCATGTTGCTATTATGGGTTTAAACTTTGAATATTGCTATTATCGGTAAAAAAAATGTATACACGTTGCTATTACAGGAAAAAAATAAAGTAGATTGCCTATATCGGTAAAAAAAAGTAAAGTAGATTGTTATTTTATAGAAATTTTCCTTTTAATAACTGTTGTGTTACATATGCAGGTTTACTTTGAGTATATGAGGAGTTTTAGGGTTGAATTTGATGATTTCTTCATGGATGGAAGCATTACTGAGATTGAAATTGGATTAGGTGCCTGTGGAGAATTGCGTTACCCATCTTATCCTGCAAAACATGGTTGGGAATATCCCGGTATTGGTGAATTTCAGGTATTTTATTATAGAAAGATCATGAAATGCTTATTTCCACATTTTTACCAATTTATGCAAAAATGTTGCTTGTTTTGGGTTAATTACAAATAACCAACAATGGGGAGGTAAGGTAATATAACAAAATGAATACCTTTTTAAATTTTATCACAAAATGATCATCTATTACTTTTTTGTGAAATTGCTTAACCTAAAAAATTAAAGATATTTTCTCTATTTCTCGAATATAACATCATTTTCATGAAAACTACAGTCATTTTCACAAAAATAATGTGTGGGGACAACTTAAAAAGCAATTTCCCGAAATTCGGTGGTCATATTTTATGATAAAAGTTGAAAATGTGGTTATTTTGTGATATAGTGATCATTCAATGTAGTGGGGACCAATGAAAAAGCAATTTCGCAAGATCTATTCACGAATTATGCAACCATGTTTTCAACCTGTTAAACACACGTACCAAATTTTGGTCCTAGAATGAAACGTGATTGAATATTCGTCTAAAAAATCACTTTGTAGCGTAAATTAGGAAAAAGATATGAAACTTTGTTGCATAAACATTAAACAAGAACATTATAAAAACGTAAACATGTTGAAATTTATAAAAAATTCCAATGTCTTACTTGGATTGCAGTGCTACGATAAGTACTTAAGAAAGAGTCTTGAGAAAGCTGCAGAGGCAAGGGGACACTCATTTTGGGGTAGACCACCTGATCATGCAGGTTCTTATAATTCACAGCCTCAGGATACCAAATTCTTCTGTGATGGAGGTGAATACGACAGCGGCTATGGCAGATTTTTTCTAAATTGGTACTCTCAGACTCTCATTCATCATGGCGACAGTGTACTCTCCATGGCCAATTTGGCCTTTGAATCCACTCCCATTTCCGTAAAGGTAACCTTTTAATATTGTTATTTATCTGTCTGCTGTCTGCTGTCTGCTGTTGATTAACTAAAAAAGTTTGATGGATGATATATCAGGTATCAGGTATCCATTGGTGGTACAAAACGGCAAGCCATGCTGCAGAACTGACAGCTGGATTTTACAATCGGGCCAACCGCGACGGGTACGGTCCGATCGCTTCAATGTTAAAAAAACACAACACCGCTTTAAACTTTACATGTGTCGAGTTACGTACACTTGACCAACACGAGGGGTTTCCGGAAGCAATGGCAGATCCCGAAGGCTTAGTTTGGCAGGTATAGACAAGATATATCTGTTGCTGATGTGGACATATGATGTGGCAGAACTGATTGTACTTTTCTTTTTTTTTTTTTTTTTAGGTATTGAATGCTGCATGGGATGCTGATATACCAGTTGCAAGTGAAAATGCTCTTCCTTGTTATGATAGACAAGGCTACAACAAGATACTTGAACATGCAAAACCAAGAGATGATCCTGATGGTAGACATTTGTCTGCTTTTACCTATCTTAGACTTAATCAACCTCTCCTTGAAGAACACAACTTAAGGGAATTTCAACTGTTTGTCAACAGAATGCATGGTAATATATCTTTTTCCCTCCCTTAAATCAATGTGTTATTGCAATTTTCACTTACTGATTTTGTTTCATTAAAACAGGTCAAGTCGTGGAGGATCTTTAGCATCTAATCCAACTTGTTTTCTTATTTTCTCGACTTATGTTACACGTTTTGTATTCAATGTAACCTGTAAGCTACAACTTTTATGGTATAAGATATAAGTTGTTGAGTTATTGTTTTTAATCGATCAAATTACTTCTTTGAAAAATGATATAGTCCAATATTGTCCATTATTGGTAAATACCAAGTAAACAACGAATCATTGGTTATGAACTTGTGGACCTATAAATTATTCAACTTATCTTTATTTATATTACCTCTTTAGTCTTTTCACTTAAGGGGATTCTCTATATTCCCTTTTATTACACTTTTTAAACTTTGTTATCTAAACAAGGAAAAGATTTTGATCAGAAACAGGAAACCATCTTCTGTTTAATGATTTACACAAGGAATCCATATATAAATATATACCTAAATGGAAATCCATGTTTAGCCTTTGTATACTCAGCTTCTTCTTTCCTTTGGCCCTTGTATTTACCAGAAATCCATGTTTAGCCATTATGTTCTTCAAGCCAACAGCTCCAGTCCTTGAACTTTAGCTATCATCCATTACAGCTACTAGCATTCAACTTCAACTAAATCTGCACTAACTTTCTAAGTTAATAAAGACAAAAATAATGACATTATTCAATTGTTAAGATTGCATTACAAGGTATATTTCAACATGTTTTGATTCTTGTATTATTATGTACTTAAAATATTAACACATGTATATTGTTAAAATTAAGTAACTAACTCATTTTCATTAACTATATATATATATATATATATATATATATATATATATATATATATATATATATATATATATAGACACACACACACACACACACTAAATTAAATAGTTGATAAAGAATATTGTTAGATAGAAATTAAGGTGACTATAAGAACAGTCGAGGAGTAGTTCTTTGAGTTTAACCTTTGGATGCATATTTGTGTTGTAATTATACGATGGTGACCATTGTTCCATATATACTGTATGTTAGCTTAAGAGAGTGGTGTTATTCAAAATCCTACATAAGTCTGATAAATAATTTTTCAAGTTATATTTTAACTTTTAAGATCCATTTTATGCGACATTATTATGTGAAAGTAATTAAAGTATAACTTCTTCAACATCAGAGAGTTTTTACTTTTTAGAGATGTTTTAAATAAGCACTTCCAAACACCATGTAAATAAGCAAATTCTAAACACCCCCAAGTATTCTTCTTCCCTTAATAAACAATATAATTAATGTGTAAATTCGTAAACAATATAATTAATTTGTAAATTTGACACTCATCGTAATAATAATCTAGCTAACAGTTAGTTGTTGATTACTTTATGTAACACTTGGTATTCAATATTTAGGTGGGTATTTATTATATTTATATATGTTGAACATAATCGAACTTTAACGTTTATTTGCTTTATAACTAATAACACGCGTCAACATGGTTTGTAAAAATTATAAAGTAACCTTTTTTATACGTAATTTTTTTTTATTCCCCAACATTGTTTTAAAAACCGGTTTTTTAGTTGAACAGGTATAGTGACCGGTTTCCGGTTCAACCGGTTTAACCGGTTCGACCGCTGAGTAAACCGGTTTCTATAATTTTCATCTTTTTTTCGTATTTTCCTACACATACATAGATACACAAATCAAGAATTTGATGTCCACAAGTTCAAACATTAAAATACACATGAAAACAAGTTGTAGATCAATCTACATACATTAAAATAACTCATAACCATAAGTTTTACATCAATCCACGTGCATTAAAAAGAAAAATAAAGTTCTAAATGAATATAAACGCATCAAAAAACTTTATAACATTTATCATGTGCTTTAATTCAGAAATATTCTAATAAATGTGAAAAAACTACCAAAGTTTATTATGTAAAAGGTTTCAATTTCATGTGTTTTTATTCAATTTAACCGGTTCAACCGGTTTAATTGAACCGGTTCAACCGGATTTTTGTAAAAACCGGTCGGTTCGATCCGGTTCAGAAATAGACTTAAAACAGGTGATAGTTAAACCGCTCCATTCCCTGATTCCCGGTCCAACCGGTTCGACCGGCCGGTTCAAACCGGTTTTTAAAACATTGTTCCCCAGTGAAATGCAAACAACCTAAATTAAAATTGACTAACTGGATAATAAAAAAGTCAAAGTTTATCTATTTGAGGAATCAAATTAGTCAATGGTATGTGCACATGTTGATGTTTAAAATAATTATGGTCGGCTTTGATGTCAAACTTGCAACTTGCATGTGGATGGCAAAAATAATAAAAGTGTTAATAAAAATAAGCAAGTGCCAAGTAGATAAATTAAAATTGGAAGGGTCTATAAATAATGCATGAGTTAAGGCCAAGTTGTAAGTATTGTTTTTGAGCCCAAAAAGAAAAGGCGAGGGGAAAAAGATGAAAGGTGTGTTTTGTATGTTCTTTGTAATTGCATTGGTTATGGCTCCTACATCACAAGGCCAATGTGTGACTACTATCTTCGAGGGTGGGCCGTGTACCAACGGAGCTAATGGCGATTGTTGTAATTTTCTTAAGGAAACCACAGACCGGGGTCCTCATGTTGAAAGCATATGGTGTGTGTGTCAGGCTCTTCTGATGGCCGAACTCCCTTCCACATATCTTAATGATTGTGGTGTGGTTGAAGGTTCAGATCCTTATTGTTGAATCTAATTTACTTCTTGCCTGTTTTTTGTTTGTGATTTTGATGCATTTATAGGGTTTTATGTTTTGATAAGATGCATGATTTCAATGACTTTGAAACTTGATGTTGTTACATGTTGACTTCGTTCGAAGACGGAACTAACACACGTCATCTCCTAGGGATAAATGATTGTTTTGAAATAAAAGTTGTTTAATTTTATTATGAAATGATACAATTATATTAAGTTTTTTTTTGAACGGCGGATTCATTAAAACAAAAAACTAACAAGACGCTAGAAAGATGTAACATCCATAAAATTCAAGCCAATTTAAAACTTTTTCAACATCCAAAAACCATTAATTATTACAAAATGTTTTCAGAATAGTTCCATACCAGAGAATCCCAGAAATCAAAGTCATAAAATATGAGGAGGTGCACAATCAAGCCTTCGCCTTCCCACGATCATCCGAAGTACCTGACACAAAATCAACAACTGTAAGCCCGAAGCTTAGTGAGTTCCCCCAAAATACCAATGTCATACAAACTAGAACAATATCATAACATACAACATGCATATAGAGTCTATAGTATGACTGGACCGCCCTCACCGGGCCTTTAGTCTATCTGGCCCACTCTCAGAGTCTTTAGTATGACTGGACCGCCCTCACCGGACCTTCAGTCTATCTGGCCCACTCTCAGAACCTTCAGCATGTCTGGTCCGCCCTCCCGGACCTTCAGCCTGTTTGGACCGTTCTCCGGGCCTTCAGCCTGACTAGTACGCCCTGACGGGTCTGCAGTCTATCCGGACTGCCCTGGGTATGTTAGCCTAGATCACAAAGCATGACCGCCTCAACCCACCCGCAATCACACAATCAACACATAAATATCATACGCTAGCTAACATGTACAGATAGTCATACAGATCTAACAGATCACTAATCATAACATCATCCTATATACCAGGATACCGATCTAACAGATCACTAAACATAGCATCATCCTATAACCAGGATATTGATATAACATATCACTAACATAACATCATCCTATAACCAGGATACAATCCAAAAAGGGTCGGCCTTGGTGCCTTAGACCCTGTTGATATAGTGAGAAGAACTCACCTCACAATGTTGAACCGAACTGAAAAGATCAATCTCCTGAATCACAGCTCCAAACTCAAACACCTACAACCACCATAGGACCAATTCCATCAAGACCTAAATTACCAAAATACCCTTAAAGGTCAAACTTGGTCAACCTTAGTCCAAGTCACAGTCAACAGCCAAGGTCAATAGTCCATGTTGGCCTCAACTTGTCGAGTGAATCTAGCAACTCGTCGAGTTCCTTCAGTATTCAGAAAACCAGGAAAAGCTCGATACAACTCGCCGAGTCACCAGAGTAACTCGTCGAGATCTTCATCATCCATAAAGCGGGAAACCCTCACCAACTCGTCGAGTTGGCTAAGCAACTCGTCGAGTTTTCCTGTCTTAACATATTCATCCCATTCCAGTCGAATCCAAAGCCCCAAACTATAGATCTAGCCCCTTAGGGCTAAGATACCACGTAAAGTTGCAAACTTTACGTGCATGCAAGGCATCAGAGGGGTTAAAACACTAAAATTAAGCTTAATAAGAGGTTTAGGACATGGAGAAGGGCCAAGACTAGACAAAGTGGGCAACTTTATGTTCATGGAGGCCTAGAGGTGTTCAGATCTGAAACCACCTCCTCTTGACAAGCTCAAATCCGAGAATGACTCCATTTTGCACCAAAATGACCATATACTTTCATAAGAGGAGATCTAAGCAATAAGAAGTCAAGGTATCAACTTTATACCTCAAGGTGGTTGCCAAAATAGAGTAGATGTCGGATCTATAACCTCCTTTTCACTCCAATATCTTCAATCTTCGAGTCTCCTTCCAAAAGAACACAATATTCACTCTCCAAAGCTCACACATACTCAAGAAGTTAGTAAAGCACGACTAGGGTTTCTCTTTGGACAATAAGGTGGTAAGGGAGGCTGGTGAGGGGACTTAAGGTCCTTTAAATAGGGTGCAAACCCTAAAAATTAGGGTTTTCATACACAACCTCAACTCGTCGAGTTGGGGTCCTCCAACTCGTCGAGTAGGTTCCAAAACCACGCGACTTTATTAGTTTCTACATGTAACGCCCGCAGATTCGGGCAAGTCAATTTAGAGACAATAAGCATAAAAAAATGAGTTTTTGATGGAAGATTATTTATAAGGAGTAATCTTACCCAAGTTGTAGTATATGTTACAAGGGTTCCGTCCATATAAATAACGCCGAAATCCGAGTTATAACGAATAAGTTATGGCCCGTCGAAGTTTCGCGGCAAAACCGGCACGACACCAGGAGACGTAAATAGTTAATTTACGATAGAGAGACTTTTGGCCTTAGTGATCTAAACAAAAGTTGTAGTGTACGTTAAACCGAGAACATACAAAAAAAGAACGCCCAAATCTGACTTCGTATGAGGAAGTTATGAATTTTCTAAG